TGTTGGGCATTCTCCAAGGTGCAGCAACTAGCCCCTGGGCAGAACTGTCCTTTGAGTCTTCATCAGCAAAAGTTCAGAAGTCTGCAAACCCTGCTAGAATTCCCGGGGAGAAATTGCGTAGAACTGTCAGGAAATACCTGCTTCTAGAGAACTCAGCCAGAGGCCTCTCACTGATTCAGTGGATCTGCAGTACCCCCTAAAAGTATCTCAACTTCAACATGCTGAGGATTTCAGTAAGCTAGATTTTCTATGTGCCAGTTTGCATTCTCCAAACAAGGCTGACTTGGCAGCTTAAGCACAATGCAAAAAATAACAGAGATGAAAACTCTCTCAGGTTTACAGTGATCATTATCTCCCATTAAAAATGCTTTTAGAAGGCAGCCTTGAATACTCTAGAACTGGAATCTGTCAATGCATCACTCCCTCTCTTAACCAGCACTCCATAAGGAGTGACTCCCCCACTCATCCGCAGCACTGCACAAGTACCTGTGCAGATGATCAGCATTAGCCTAAGACAGTCCACCAGCTGCAGCCAGCACGTTTTTAAAGGTCTGTTGAAGCCACACTACGAAAGCAACACATTACATAGGTCACAGAGACTGACACGTCTTGAATCTGCCCTTTGTGCAGCAGTTGGGAAAACGCACGTTCTGGCTCCACATCAATTCCCATTTTTATCCTGTCTGAACCTCAGAATTCTAGGAAAAGACACAATAGTGATTCCCTTTTAAAATTTTCTTGTTCTGTTTCAGTGGGTGGAAGGATATAGCACCAAGTCCCAATGAATTTATCAAGCTTCTCATTTGCTGTAGCTGTGTTTTTCTGAGAGCTCTTCAGACAGATACTAGGTGAACACCACGCCAGCAACAAAGTTTGAAAAAAGTGAGTCACAAAATCTATAACGCAAATAAAAAGAACACCTTAAATAATACTCCTGATTTTTAAGCCCATGATTACCTGCCATGAGTTCAAAATATCTCAGGGTTTTGCCTTACGGTTCTTGAACATTTACTCTTTAGACATTAACAGTGCTGGACAGATCCTAGGAGCCTCTGTGAGCAAAAATAATGTGTGGCAGATTGGGCACATCCAAAGAGCATTTTCTGTGACCCTCAACAGAACTGCTTTAAATTTCAAAGTCTTCCTTCATAACTTCTACAAGCCTGTCAGCCTGACCTTGGTGCTGGAGAAGGTTGGGAAGTAGATCAACTTGAGTGCCAGCACATGGCACGTACAGAGCAACCAGGGCTGTCCTCTTTCATCTCTGTATCAATAATGTGGATGAGAGGACCAAGTGTACCTTCAGTAAATTTGCAGATGACACCAAGTTTGGTGGGAGACTTGACCTGCCTGAGGATAGAAAGGCTCTGCAGAGAGATCTGGATAAGCTGGACTGATGGGCCAAGGCCAACTGTGTGACGTTCAACAAGGCCACATGCCAGGTCCTGCACTTCAGTCACAACAACCCCGGGCAACACTACAGGCCTGGGGAGGAGTGGATGGAAAGCTGCCCCTGGTGGAAACGGACTTGGGGGTTCTGGTTGACAGCCAGCTGAATATGAGCCAGCAGTGTGCCCAGGTGGCCAAGAAGGCCAACAGCATCCTGTGCCCAGGTGGCCAAGAAGGCCAAGGGCAGCCGGGGTGGTGTTAGAAATAGTGTGGCCAGCAGGAGTAGGGAGGTGGTCGTGTCCTTGGACTCAGCACTGGTGAGGCCACACCTTGGACACTGTGTTCAGCCTTGGGCCCCTCACTACAAGAAGGGCACTGAGGTGCTCGAGAGTCTCTAAAGGGCAACGAAGCTGTTGAAGGGTCTAGAGCATAAGTCTTATGAGGAATGGCTGAGGAAGCTGGGGTTGTTTAGCCTGGAGAAAAGGAGGCTCAGGGGAGATCGTATCACTCTCTACAACCCGCTGAAAGGAGGATGTAGCAAGGTGGGTGCCAATCTTTTCTCCCAAGTAACAAGCGAAACAGAAGAGAGTCAAGATCAGGACTGAAGACATATCTACAATCTTCACCATAAAACCACTTGTGCTCACTTGCTCGCTGAAGGTTAAGATGGAGAAAACATTTCTGAGTCAGAACTGCCAGCTGTTATTTTAATACTTACCCAACTCTGTGTAGCTCCACAATCCACAAACAAGAAAACCAGAGTATCTAGGAGCATAAAAATACTTGTTTTATACACTTGGGAACATAATCTAAGGAAGGGTGGAAAAGCTTCACTATTGGATTCTTTGGTAAACAAAAATTTAAAGTACTAGTATTCAAACTGTTCAGGCCTTTGGGAATGCCAGTGGAGTTTGACATTTTAGGTATTGGGCCATGGTTTGGCTGCACAGACTCTTCTGGCTCTCCAGCTACACCACAGCATCCTGAAATTTTATTCTTGGACATGAGGAGTCACTCAGAACCCAGTGGGACAAACCAGCTATCAATGATGAAAAAGGCAAACACATCTGAAAGACATGCTAAGGTTTCTCATCCTCTGCAGGGAGAATTTATGATCGTTCAGGGTACAGTAACTCGCTTTCTTCCATGGCAGAGCCCAGACTGTTTGCTCAAACCCAGAACTGCTCAAATCTTCTGATATACTCCAGTGTCCACTCCTGCGTTTACAGCTATTGAGAGAGAAAGCGCACGCTGTTTTGCATTAGCTTCCCAAAATAGCTAACTACCAGCCTGGGTGGCTGACTGAGCTAAGCAAATTGCAACCCAAGACTCCTTCCTTAGCCTATCCCCCACTCCCTATTAAAACAAAAAAATAAAATAAAAAAAAATTCTTATTAGAAACTATCAATTATGAAGAAAATAGTACATCCAGTTGAGAGCCAGCTATTCAGCAGATCCTTTACAAATAAGTCCTGCTGCTGAGAAAGCGCCAGTGCTTATGCAACCACACACCAGTCCAGCAAGCACAGCTCTGCTTCTGGCCACTGGTTTCACCGGTCAGTGTTTGCATGCTAAAGGCAAAGACAGCTTTCGGTTAGTCCCTTCTGCACGCTCAGGACTTCAGAAAACAGGATCACCTGAGGCTCTGAGATGTCCTACTGCTGATCCACTCGTGGGATAAGCGGGACTCAGGAGCCCACGCTTTCTGCTCTTGACATGCATCAGTCTTCTGTTAAGATCAGAAATGGGATCCACAGAAAAAAGGAGCGTGAATGCCTGACTGACCAAAGGTCCTAATTCATAACGAAGCATGTATCAAGCTGACAGGCTCATCTCCAATGAACATCTAGGGGTTTCCTACTGAATGTAAGCATCAACCTAGAAACTGGAACAAATTAAATGCAAAATTTAATACTACACTAAAGGAAACTGAATAGACAAACATAAAACATTTACACCTCTACAGCCTGATGACAATCTTCTTCATTTTGTGAAGCTGCAAACTTGTACATTCACCTTCCAACTCAAATGAAATGTAGGGCCTCAAGTTCCAACCAGAGGGAAAGGAACTTTAGACCCGAGGTTTTCTGCTCACTTTCTATTTAAGAAAAGCTTCTGAAAAACTTCTAAGTAAAACACATTCTTGAAAGCATTCTGTATTTCCCTACTTGTAGTTTACATTTTCTATGCTGCAAATCTGAATTTTCACTAGCCCAGAAGAAAAGGTAACTCAGGGAGCCAAACCTGTGGCAGGCTCCTCCTGTCTAAGCTCACACCCATACAGAAGGAAGGTCTATCCCACATGCAAAAATCATCGATAAAAAAACCTGTGCCTGGAGCAGGCACTGCTGCACACAGCAACCACAGCATCAAAACTGGCAGTAACTACCAAAAAAAAAGGAAAAAAGCACACCAAATATAGATCCAGCTTCAGTAAGCATGTAGTGCATTCTCTCATTCAGAAAAAAGAAAGAACACCAGGGGGAAAAAAAAAAACCAACCACCAAACCCACACACGAGCAAACAAAAACTCATGAAAACATATGCATGTCTCCTAAGTAAAGACACATGGAAAGAAAATTTCATTTTTCTAATCCACTTTTTCCTTTAAGAAAAAGAAGATACTCAAAACCAACACTGGTTTCTTTTCCTCCTGAAGTTCTGCATCGAATGAAAAAAGCAGCATCCTCCCCCAAAAACCAACCCAGGTACGTCCACAACAAACAGAGACAAACTGGTGATGAAATAACACAGTGGAAAGTAGACACACCCACAAGACCTGTCACAGGTCCCTGTGAATTTGACCTTGGCCTCCAGACTGGCCTTTCCTTTGGCAACACACAGTGCTGGAGTGCCAGAGGAGGCAGCTTCTGGATGAAGCTGATTTATGTAAAGAATATTGCCTTTGCATAACACCACATCAGTGTCAACTTACTTTCTTCTACTGAAATAATGATACACAAACACACTGCTTTGGAAGGAGAAATGTCCAGTGCACCTCTTCTGCAGCACAGTGGAAATATGCAGACCCTCTGGAAACCACTGAATTTATGTCTGACCTGCAGGAGGTCATACCACATTAATGTCATCTTTCATGTGTGTTGCTTTTTCTCTGGTTTTCCCAAGAGCCAAAGAAAAACAAAATACACAATAAGGCCTTTGTCCTGATGTTTTCAGGTTTGAAATGTCTACCTGGGTCTAGCTTATGCTAAAAAAAAGAAAAGCATCCTTTATTCATCTGTTCATATATAAATATGGTTATTTTCTGAAGTGCCATCAGCAAGTTTATGGCCTTGTCTACAGAGAATAACTTTTTTGCCTTTAGTTTGTTCAGAGTTATCACCTTAAAGAAAGAAGTATGATGTGTCTTTTGGCAGTGTGAGTTATTTCTTCTGCTTTTAAAAAATGAGTCAAGTTTTATTTTTAATCACGCTTTTATTACCGTTTTCAAAAAAACAAGCAAAAAAACCCACAGCTCCAGCAAATCAAAAAAACTCCAACAAATCACATCTTATGTTGTTATATTTACACTGTAGACTTCTTAATCTCTTATGTAAATATACATATTCTGAAGTAATCTATTGTGGCAAAAGAATGCTATTTTAAGCACTTGATGGATAAATCTTCATTATCAATGTAATGCTCTAAGAGAAAAGAAAATCAATTTTCAGAGTTGTCAGATATCAAGATAAGCATACAGATTAAGTCTATCCAAATTATTTTAAACAAAAAGAAACTGCAAGTGTTACAATAACTTAAGATAGTGTACTATACCACACACACAACATGGTCAAAACTGATTATTTTTGATGAACGTTAGTTATCACAACTGTTTTCCAAAGCAGGAATAAAGAATTTTTTTTAAAAAAAGTTTCAAACATGCTATCTGGAATATTCACTTCTTCTTGGCTACTAGTTTATCTTCATAGTTGACTGGGATTATGCCACTGCATTCTTCTGTCTTTGATACAGGATGCTTTATAAAAGCACGTCTAATTACATCAACATCACGTCCTAAATGATCCATCATGGTCGATACAATCGAAGGTGGGCCCTCTAAATCTATCAAAAAATACCTGCAATGAGAAACATACACACAATAAAAAAAATACCTGTACTACAACAACTTTACTTCAAAGTACCTCTTCCACCAGATTTCTTAAATGAAACTTTCCAATTTTTTCATTACATTTTGGTACCAGAGTGGTTTGAAATAGAAGCTTGGTATTATCTTGATTTCAAATAAGAGAAGTTTGGTTGAAGCAGGCTCAGCCTGAACTTTTCTTTGTTGTACATCACTGCTTACCCAAGGAGATTAAAGAGAGCTCATTCTTCTTGTACCTTTTCCCTTAATTTCCACACCTTGATTTGCATAGTCTTTAAAAAAAAAAAAAGTTAGGGCTTTCATTTCATTCATTTCAGTTACAATACACATCCTTCTTCTTCAAACTCACGGCACTGTTTCCTTGGGGAACAGATGCCAGTGCGAAACATCTCAAACTTATACACATAAAGGCATGTATCTTCCTTTAAGGTTCTGCTTCAGAGCTGAATGGAAATTAAGACAAAAAAAAAAATAAAAAAAACCAAACCAAAACAGCAAAAGAAATCCAAGGAGAGGACTTATCCCAAATTAAGCACATCTCTGATGTGAACATGACTTAAATTTTGAAGCTGAGGAAGGGAGCTGAAGCCGTGTACAGGCAATGCCCACTGGCACAGGCGGCACTCGATGAGCACACTGTCATGCTGACCTTGGCAGGACTGAAAAGGTCTTACTCCCACACACGCACAGCACATATGAAACACACTGCTTCAGGTAAGCACTGTCCACTACACAGCTATCTGAATTCTATAAAGAAAACGACCACTGCCTGCCTATGGGAAAGAGAATGTCCTCCCCAGCAATACTTTAGGTCACTGAGGTTACCTCTGCAATAAACTCCTTTGCTGAGGAACTGCACCTTCCTCATCAGCTCAACTATAATTTCGCAAGAGGCTTTTAAAACCCCAGTACGCTTCAACAAGCAGAAAGCTCTAGTGCACTTCATGAGCCTCACGGCAGACAAGGGACACAACTACACACTGTGCATTAACTTAATCTCACGTACTCAAAGTCGGATCCTGTCTCTCAACACGTGGTGTACCTTCAGTTCATTAGTGACATGTTATGTATGTCTGCTTTTCGTACAAGTTACGAGTGACCTAGTACCAGCCATCATACTAATGCAAAAAAAGAGTGAACCACATCACTGGTCATCTCTCTTCCCTTGAAATGCTGTGGACGAAGCAACGGTATCAACAGAACTGTAACCAGAACACTTCTTAACCACTTTGTCTGCATTTGGTATGACACTAACTACAGTACAGCAAAAAGAGACTGCAACTGTCTCAGAAATCCTGCTGGAGAGAACTGATCACTTACTCCGTTTTCAAGACTATCAGTAATTTAAAGCCTAAATGTACAGCACAGCACTTCCCAGCAGGATACTTCATTTTGCTCTTTACACATCCTCTTATTAAAGCTCTCCTTTCCTCCTAGTCCACTCATCAGCATAACCTGAAAGCGATATACCTTAAATAGTCATAACATAATAAAGTCCCAAGCAGCATCAAGCATCCCCATCTGATTTAAAAACCATACCTAACAAAGAGGAGTTTGTTCTGCAAGAGGTATGGATTCTTATTAAGGTACAGCATGAGCCTCAGAGTCCATCTCATAATGGTAATCTTGGAGGACAAGTCCCTGAGACCAGAAGCTGAACTGGGAGCACAGGGAGAACAGGAGATGGGGTCACAAACAATGGACACTCTCACATTCTTCACGCTGCACAGAGTTCATTTTCACCCAACTAAGTGTATTGCATCAAAGATACTAAACACAGAAGAGACACATCAGGCCAGAAATGACTCAAGCAACATGTGCCAGATTACTGCACAGGGGTGGAATCCACTTGTGGAAAACATGGTGAAGATGCTTCTCCTCAACTACATGATCTAATCCTGAAGCTCTTACGCAGGCCTCTACGTTAATAGCCACAATTCATCTCTGAAGTCTTTTTCAACAAGACCAGATTGAAGCACTGAATTCTTGTATGTGACAGGTCTTATGGCAAAAAAAATCTCCCTGCAGCCCATATTGAAGCAATGAGTCCTCTAGAACAGATGCCCAGCTGGTGAGAGCTGTGACTGAGCGACACTGAAGCCAAGGGACCAGTGCCAGGTCACGTCAGTGAAGGTGCTGCTCTTCTGACTGGAGCAGGGTTATTGAGAGCTACAAGAAGGACTTGCCTCAAGAAAGATTTGGAGGAACACTAGTGGGCTGAGTCCTCCTCACAAGGATTTGGCTTAGTATATTTGGAAAAGCAAACTGACTGCTGTTTTCTGGACTCCAAAATTAAGAGATGACACCTGGTTAAAAGTTTACGGACAGAAACAATTTTTAAGCTGGGACAATTAGTTAGAAATACTGCACAGCAACATCAGAAAGATGCACACCCCTTAAAAAGGGAAAGTCGTATTTTCTGTTAAAGTCATTAAAAAACACAGGTAAATTTAACAGATGACACTTCCCTCTTCTCCTTGGGAAGAAGCCTTCCAAATCCTCTCACAGTTACAAATAACAGAAAGGAGGACTGGATAGAAATTCTAGCTGGTGATCCACCACCACTTTCACACCCTCTTCCCTTAGGAAAGGGCATTTGTTCACATTGCAATCCATGCTCTTTGCTGCACCATTTTAGTTCCACCTTTTCTCAATAATTTAATTTCATTTCTGCTTTCAAGTCGTATGCTGGTTTTCATTGTGTTCCTAAAACGGTAATAGGTTGGGTTGGTTTTGGTTTGGTTTTTATTTTTTCCCCCTCCAAAGGCTGCTTTGCAACTTTGTGCTTTCTCTCACACTAGCAAAGGGTGGAAATTTCCACTGACGCACTGTTGATAACTGAAGGAGAAGAGGGGGATGGGAGAATGAGCTGCTACAGCGTATCTTTATGACTCCTCGCAGAATAGGTATTTTATCTGAGGGTACAGAACCGCAGTAAATGGGGACAATGCGAATTTTTTAAAACAACCACTGCTCTCCAATGTTAACAAGCAACGACTGCCTTCCTGTGCCAAAAAAAAGAGACAAGGAAAAGAGGGGCAGCGTAAAAAATATTGTTTCTTTAATGAAGAAGAAACTAATGGCTGCAAGAGCACTAACCAAACACAACTGACAGTGCAATCCCTGAGGAGATCTGATACCCCTTCCCCCCAGACACACACATTTAAATCAACTGTCACGAGGCCATGGGTTTTTTTTTTAATCCACCCTCAATGAGGCATGCAGCAACCTTAATTTCAGGCAGTGATCTATGACCTGATAGGCAACGGCTGTAGCTACTGCTTGTGTAGTAAACAAAGCCAAATCCCAGTGGGGTTTAAAGACCAGGAAAAATACAGGAATGCAGGAGGGAAATCACCTCATTCTTGCAAGCAAAAATGCAAAAAAGCATTTAGGCTCTCTAGTAGTCAGCCAAGTCATCAGGGGAGAAATGCAGGAAAATTCCACTGATTCACTATGAGACCACAGTTATTTTTGTCATTCTGCTTGACTGTAAATAAAAAGAAGATTTAAATACAGGAGAGCAGATTGAAACATATTAAAACAATGCATTAACTGAAAAGCACCAGGTTTCATTTATCCTTTTTAACATACCCAAGCCAGAAATTGTTTCAATTGTGAGTCCTAAAGGATACTCAAATATTTTGCTTTCATATGGACAGCCTAGGACTTCAAAGAACCCTGAAAAGTACCTGGATCAAAACCCCCTTTTTAATCCTCCTAGAATATGACTCTGTCACCCTGGGGAGCCAAGGAAAAAGCACATGAACAGTAGACTTGGAAGAGGCTGTGTGGTTCCGTGGTTTTGCCTGAAAAATATACGTATTCTTAAATTTCTCCTTTACATCGTGTCAATAAGCGTATGAAGGCTTCCCAAGTGTCGAGGTGGAAGATACAAAGGAAACAACATATTCTGCCAAAAAAAGTAGAAGTGAAGGAGTGAACAGGGAAACAGGAAACTGCCTGGAGGAAAGCAAGCTGTACCACTCACATGAGAGCAGCTGGACATTCATTCTCATTAAGGTAATCCTATACAAACAAAATTTTTTTGGTACCTGGATGATCACTCCATCTTTGGGGCCACTGCACTGCTCTGAGAAAGGGCAGCTTGTTTTTTTTCCTCAGCAGGGCAGGCAGGGAAATACATGCTCAGAAGGATTATCATTTTGTGGCTGGAAGAACTAGTATGCATGTTACTCTTAGCTTTTAAAAGAAATACATATGGAATAGATGGAAGTCCTTTAAAAATCACAAGGACAGGAACAGGGAAGTATCAGATCAAAAATAAAAGCTGATACCTTAGTAACTAGAATGTACCATGGCAATGACACAAAAAATTCATAATGAGCAGGTACTTTGGGAAAAAATGTTTTATCATCCACAGTCTTCAGAAATTTCATTTACCAAATTTTACACATAGATGCCCATTATTAAGCTAATTAAATAACAGAAAGGTATTTTACAGTATTGCAGAATTTTTTTTTTTTTTTTTAAAAAATACTGTCACACTGCAAAAGTGAAGGCAGCCTGACCTATTAGGAGTATCTGAAAAGCCATACTCACTGGGCAGCACTTGAAAAGTTTACAAAATTGTTATAAGCAGGGCTGAAGTTACAACAGTGGGCATTAATTCTGCTTCTGCCACTTCTCTGCCTTCTGTATAATTTACAGCTTAAAAAAAAAAATAAAAAATGGTGACTGATTCCCATCCCACCAAGGCCACTACTTGAAAGCAGCAAGCACATGTAAACAATGTGCTTGCACAAGAATGCTACAGAATTTAGAGCATCAGAAAACGATACTGATGTCCCAGCAACACAAACTGTTGCACAGTACCATTTCTTCTGAAAAGCACCAAAATGCAAAATTGAAAACTGCATTCCCACAGGGGGTGGGGGAGAATAAGGTGGAGGAGTTAAAAAAAAAAAAAAAAAAAAAGACCTTTCAGGGCTCTGATACTTGAGGCACATC